ACATGTTGCCCTATGACAATGGTTAACAACCCCACTACATGTCAACACTGTCCTTACTCAACCTTGGGTTCCCTATCACCAGCTTTCCTGTCCCCTTCTGCCTTCGAGTCCTTGTCCCCTTCTGCCTTCGAGTCCTTGTCCCTGGACTGCTGTGCCTCATTAGTCCCGTTTTGTTTTATGGGGCTGCCCAACCCCCGGCTGAACGGTGAACCTTGGAAGTGATTTCACCACTGAGCTAAAAGGGTGTCTGGGGGCCATACTCTTGGGGTTTCTCCAGTCTCTTTCAGGCCAGTAAATGTGATCTTTTTTGTGTGTGTTAGAATTTTGTTCTATATCCTTCTCTAGCTCTGTCCAGAACCCTCTGTTGTGGTCCGGTCAGAGCTGACTCCTATTTCTTGATGGTGAAAACAAATAAACACAATGAGTTACAAGATTCAGTGTCCCATTGGGTAAGACAAAAAGCCTGTTTACGAGAAGCCTGATAGGAAACTTGAAAGTAATTTTTCCTTTGAGGTCTCAATGAAGTAATACTGTATGATACAGTGGAAAAGATTCCCGATAGGACCACTACCTTAGCTATGACAACACATTTTGCGTATTTTTCCATAATAGTGCTCAACCACATTATTTGATGGAGAACCACACTGTCTGGTTGGTCAGACATGCTTTGTCACTGTGCCTCATCTTGATCCCTTCTTTTCTGCTTTATTAACAACACAGGGCTTATGAACAGCTAAATGTGAAGCATGAACCTCTGCAGCTCATCCAACCTCAGTTTGAGACGCCGCTGCCAGCCCTGCAGCCAGCTGTGAGTAGGTGTGCTTGAGGGACCCCCACTGCAAAACCCTTCTGTTTGCCCATACCTTACCAGCTGGGCCCTTCACTATGGATCTGCCCATAAAGAGAGCTTAGACAAGTGACAGTCACATTTCATTTACCTGCCCAAAGGCAAACTTTAGACTTTAATCTCAGTCGAAGCTGCCACTGATATCTTGTTTAATTCTGTTAACATTGACTAAGTTGAGAAACTTATTATTAAAACAAAACGGAGCAACCCCTGGAGGCAAGCAAGCACCCTTGAGGTATCTCCACCCTCTACCCAGGTGGTTTGAGTACCCAGGCTTGTTGGCTTTCCTTTTGTCCTCTTTTACGTAAGAGCGAGGTGGTTCTCAGACTTCAGTGTGCACAAGAATTATGTTTCAAGGTTGTAAATGTAAACTATGTTTTTTGTACTTTTATAGATTATTTAAAGGATTTTTCAAAAGTAATTTTGATGACTCATGATTTGCACTTTCTGTGCTAAGTATACCAGAAACTCCTAGAAAGAGGAGACTCTACTGACCCATGAATAGTTGCTGGGTAGGATGGGTGAGTGGGCAGGGCTCCCGGTCTCCTCAGCAGAGCGCACAAACTGCCTTTGGCGCACACATGACAACACTGTGCAGGGCACTGCATTTTAAACTGAGCTGCTGAGCAGCAGTCAGCATGGGAATCCTATGTATGGACTAGCCTGCGTTTCTGTGATGGAACCTGCTGGCGTTTACACTGTGAAAATTATTGATAATTAATTGGTTACTGGGGACACGTGAAGATTTTACAGGAGAACAATGTTAACATTTATTCCATGCTGTGCAGGTTATACAGAGTTTTCATGTTTATCATATTTACTCTTCACAATAATCTTGTACTTATTATCCCCATTTTACTGACATGGAAACTGTATTTGCCTATTGTCACACGTAGCTGGTAAGTGGCAGAATTAGTTTCATACCAGTGGTATACTGGAGCCAGTTTACATTCGTTTGTAAGAGCTGATGGTTAAATTTTCAGGAATGTTATGAGCCAGTTGGCTTCATCTTGGTTGTTTGAAACTGGCCATGATAGGAATATTTATATCATAGAAACTGGCAGATGGTACAGATCAGGCCTTTTGTTTTCTTTTGAGGGCTGGTAGTAATAAAACATTTACCAACATTATTGGGTCACACTATGAATTCTGACTTCAAGTTCAGCACCTTCTACACTAATCTACATCTGCCTCCCCAGATAATTTCTGTCCCTAAAGAACTCATGATTAAATAAGAAACAAGTTGTATAATCAAATATTCTACACAAACTTAAGCCCTAACTATGCACCCTTGAGCTGAGTTAACTGGCATTGGTACATCACTTCAGTTTAGTGATATAGTTAGAGCTGGTTCTGCTTGGTTGCTTACAGTGGGCTGGTAGTCTTGCTTGGTGTGGGTCTAATGAGAGGGCTGGAGGAGCTGATGGGAGTTCAGGCTGGTTTGTCCCTGGGGAAGGGCTGAGGTTGGTCTGTCATGTCCCTTGTGTCTCATCACTGTCAGTTTTGACCTTGGATGGCTCCTTTATATAAGATCCTGTTTCCTTTTAGGTTTTCCCTCCTAGTTTTAGGGAATTACCACCTCCTCCTCTGGAGCTGTTTGACTTAGATGAGACGTTCTCCTCTGAGAAGGCACGGCTTGCTCAGATTACCAATAAGTGTAAGTTTGGCCAATTTTTCTGTTTGTTTGGTGTGAGGAGTTTTACTTATTTGTGAACTTATGAACAGTATAAAGTTACAATGTCTGTTTATTTCATGTAAATGATGCAGCTTGTTTTTCTTGAGGATACTTAGCTCACTGGGTTAGAACATGGTCCTGAGCAGAAGCCAAAGATCTCAGCTTTAGTCCCTGGAAATCCTTACTTCTGATCTGTTGAGTGACCATAGGATGAATTCTGAGCCCTGGCTGGCCACCTAGCAAATCTGGGGTCATTGGTCATAGGAGCAGTTAAATTAAAAAATCGAGTCAGAGCTAGAAGAATGATAGACTCCGAATTGGAAGAAATCTTAGAGAGGGCCAGGGCTCCTCCCTGTGACGTGTGGATGAGAAAATGAGGCCTCAAGCCACATAGCTACATGGTGAGCGGTACTCTTGACTCTTGGCCCAGTGCTCTTTCTGCCCTGCACTGCCTCCAGCAGAGCAAATGGGCCTGTACACATATAATCAGAGGCATGAAACTAACCATCCACTTTGAGGCAGTGATCTCACTCCTGGGAATCTATTCTAAGGAGATGAATGAAGGTACAAAGACGATTACCACATTATTTAATAAAAAATAAAATTGAGAATAGCCTTATTGTCACTAGGAGGGGAACGGTAGTCAGTTGTGTCACAATCAGTAGGATAATATGTAGTCATTATAAGAGAGGATCATAAATGAAGAAAGCAAGATATAAAACTGCATGCAAAGGAGGATCCCAACTATGTAAACCACATCTGTATGTGGCCAAAGACCAGAATGGACTATGCAAAAAGGAAAAGAGTTCAATGTAAAAAACTGTTACTTAATCTATTCTATGCCAGGCATTGTGGTAGATGCTGGGCAATCCACCGTTAGCAAGACAATGTGATTAGTCCAATAGGATAATAGGCCTGTGAAGAACCAAATGCTTTGACCCAGCATTTCTACTTCTAGCAAATTATCCTACAGAAATATTAAAAAAAAAAAAAAAAAAGATATAGATGTTAATTTTAGCATTCAAAAAATTGGAAATGGCCTAATGGTTCTTCTGTCAGTAGGGGGATTGGTTAAAAAAATTATGAAATAAATGAAGTATTATTATACATCTGTTAAAAGAAAGATGTAGAGCATAAGCTTTGATGTGGAATGGTGTCCATGATACGTTGTTAAATGATGAAGGCAACTTGCAGAACTATTATAATTTGATCCCATTTTGACAAAAACTTGTCTTTTTTACATGTATAAAACAAGGTAGGATTTGGTGGAGATGGAGCTAGGTGAGAGCTTGATGCATCTATATGGTTTGAGTATCTTACTAAATAACTTTTACTTCTATTATACCTTTTTTAAAGGATGCAAATCAGAGGGGAGAAAAAAGAAACTGCAGTATAGTATAAGCGGGCAGTAATGACTGTCCATCCTAGATACGGGTTATTGGGGGTGGCTTCGCCGAGATATGTTAGAATTACGTATACTGTTACTAAAATGATGCTTTAAAAAAAAGCCCATGTGCTTTTCATACTAGTCCTTGTTGCGTTCAGAGCACAGTAAATTGATTTCCTACTGGCTGCTCCTATTCTTTGTAATATAGGAATGATGGGTCTGGGAATAGGAAAGCTGAGCCAGTCCAGCTTTATTCTCATTAGTAGTGTTAACACTTTTCACTTTTGTCCTGATTTACAAAAGTAGCATATCAGGAGTCTCTATAGAGTTTGTCAGTGTTTAAGTCCTGTGGTCACATTACCCTAGGAAGAGGTGAATGATTTTGAGTGATGCAGGGACTTGTCAGAGGATACTTAAAACACAGTAAGTCTGTACTTTGGGAAAAGTAGAAGGCAAGGGTTAATCTAACTACCCTAACTGTGCTTAGGTACTGAAGAAGACCTGGAATTCTATGTCAGGAAATGTGGTGACATTCTTGGAGTGACCAGTAAACTACCAAAGGACCAACAAGATGCCAAACACATTCTCGAGCACATCTTCTTCCAAGTGGTGGAGTTCAAGAAATTGAACCAGGTATGCAGCCTAGGAGGCCCACTGCAGTGGTGGTATCATCCATAAACTGTACTCCTTGTGTTTTATGCCATTCATTCTGCAACTCCTTAGTGAGCATCTACTATGTGAACAAAACAGACCATAATCCCTGCCGTAATGGAACTTACCTTCTAGCTGGAGGAGACAGATAGTAATAAACATAATCTAGAAGTAAATCACATAGTATGCTAGAAGGTGGTAAGTGCTGTGGCATAAAAAAGTAGAGCAGGGCAAGAGGGATCAAGTGTGTGAAGTGTGGTAGTGACTGGGGAGTTGTAGGGAGTGTGGTATTAAAATAGGGTGGTCAGGGTAGGCCCCTGTGAAGTTGATGTTGGAGCGAAGACAAAGGTGTTGAGGAACTTGGCCATGCAGATAGCTGGGGGAGGAGTGTTCCAGGCAGAGGGAAGACCTGTGCAAATTCCCTAAGGCTGGATGTCTATGCCTGGAATGTCTCAGGAACAGCAGTGATGCCAGTGTGACTAGAGAAGTGAGCAGAGGATAGAGCAATGGAACATGAAGTCAGCATTTCATGTTAGAAATCCTTTTTCTGTAGACCAAGGACCAGGAACTTTAAAATTATGCCTGGCGTGCCTTCTTTCTATCCCTTTACAGGATTTCTAAAATTAAATGCCCAGCCAGTGTTGGTAAATGGGCATTCAGACACTACTGATGGGAGAATAAATTGGTTCTACTTTTCTGGGGACTTTTTGTAATATCATTCAAAAGCCCTAAAAATATATATACTTTTGACCCAGAAATTCTAATCCTCAGAATTTGTCTTAACAATATAATCCTAACTGTGTGCAGTTTTGTCAACCAGGATACTAGCTATAGCACTGTTTTAAGAGAAAAGTCTTTGTCAGTGGGGAATTGTCTTTATCAGTGGGGAATTGTACTGAAGGATGTACCTTTAGTAACTTAAGGTACATCCATAACATTACAGTTGTTTTAGAAGAATATTTAATTAATTAATATTTATGTGAAGACAACATAATATAGTAAATGGGGGGAGGCTATAAAACAGTATATAAAGAGATCCTATTTTTCCTTACAAAATGCATATATATGTTTGCATAGTAAAAAAGAACAAAGATAGTCATTCAGATGTGCAGAATGTGCAGTGTTGCAGTGATTTTTTTTTCTCTATTAAAATTTCTGTAACGAACATTGTGTCACTTTGGGAGGAAAAAAGAGTTTTTTGCCTTTTTTTTAACATAAGCAGGCAAAATATAAGCTTAGGATTTTCAAAGCTGAGTGGAAAGACTAGTTAGCATATGATCCTCTAATGGAAGGGGCTGGCTTTGTGGGGTCTTCACTGGACAGTTTACTGCACACCTCTTATGTGCCAGGCATGTGTTGAGGCTGTAGGGGTGAACAAGATGAATGCAGTCCTTGCTCTCTCAGAGCTACGTCCAGTGGGGCAGATGGAAATACATAGGCAGTTACAGTGCTCTGAGATAAGTGTCATGGAGGAGCTGTATAGAGGCTCTGGGTACCCAGAGGCGAGGTATTGTTTTGGCTCTTCAGCACTAAAATGTGGAATAGGGGCTTGGGTAGATTCCCACCAGTTCTAACCCTGCATGGCAGGACAGGCCCCCAACGCTAGGGTGAGAAGTCTGGTATAGTCCCTGCATCAGTGTCTTCAACTGTATTTGCTATTTAATATGGAAAATTGTCTATACAGTTTTCTTCTATAAGCCTTGGAAAGTCTGTGCATTTTTTGTAGTGCTAAGATAAGATTTCTAACGTTGAAAATATTTATATAAGTTCCTCTTTTATTCTTTTTAATTAAACCTATGATTGAATCTGTACTTTTATAATTTAGGAGCCCTGGTGGCTCAGTGGTTTAGAGCTATGGCGAGCTGCAGCTGCTAACCAAAAGGTCAGCAGTTTGAATCCACCAGCTGCTCCTTGGAAACCCTGTAGAGCAGTTCTACTCTGTCCTAGAGGGTCACTATGAGTTGGAATTGACTCAACAGCAACGGTTTTTTTTTTGTTGTTATCATGGTCTGTGGTGGTCAAAGCCCTGTTCTGGTGGTAAACCCTGGATTTAGTCTTAGAGCCAGAGATTACCTGTGTGCTCCAGTTAATGGTGATTCAAACTCTCTAGTCAAAATCTAAAACACAAGGTCACATTTTAGGCTTTGTATTGAAATACTAAAATTCTCTCTTACTCCCGTGTCCAGGAACATGACATTGATACAAGTGAGACAGCATTCCAAAGCAATTTCTGAGGACCATGCCTCTTGAAGCATTTCTGCCTCCTGATTCTCTTTGTAAACTATTTTTTAATTTTTCCTCAACTCCTTATCAAAATTGTCTGTACACTTTCTTCTGTAAGTGTTGGAAGGTCTGTGCATTTTTTGTAGTACACAGATAGGTATAAGGTTTCTAACCTTCAAAATCTTTATGTAAGATAAGTTCCTTTTTTTTTCTTTTTTTAAAATTAAACCTATGATTGAATCTGTACTTTCATAATTTATGAGAGTCTTTCACTGAAGTATTTTCTTTCAACTTCCGTTCTGGATTTGAGTTTTTTTCATCAAAGATATAAACAGTTATCAAGCTTGTTGTCAGCACTCCACAGCTTTTGGGATTGTTAAAAAGGATATGGGAATACACAGCAATATACTGGAATACACTGGGAATGAACTTTGGGGAACCCTGGGAGCCAGGTAGAAGAGTGCAGAGCCACTGAAAGTGTATGTAAAGGATGTGGCACAATGTGAATAGCTTAGTGGGTAGGTTCTATAAGTATGAGAATGGAGGAAGAAGGCCGTTTAGGGGGAGAGTGTGATATAACACCAAGAAGAAGTAATGAGGATGTGGACTAAGGTGCTGCTGTAGGAAAGGTAGCATTTTGAAACAGGTCTGGTTTGGGGTTAAGATCATATTGGCAAGACTTCCAGCCTGGTTGCCTGGGAGAGTGGTGGAGCTATTGAAGGCAGGGGCAGTCTGGAGGATGAGCTGTTTTTGAAGGTAAGAGTCCAATGTTGCATTTATGTTTGAGATGCTGACCGTTCATATTAGTTGAAATAACTGGAAATACCTGAGGATTAAAAAAGATGTCAGGTCTGAGGATCTGAGTTTTTCACCTGGAGTTAATTGAAGCCATGAGAATAGTTTGTCAAGGAATAATACTTTTAAAAAACTTAAAACCTTGGGAAGAAAGGCTCAAGTCAAAATTCTGAATTTCAAATGATTTATTCACCCTAAAGCTCTGTTCATAGGCTTCCATTCTCTCACACACTCAAGCCCTATCCAGAGTCGCCAGCCAGGGCAGAGCACTGGGGAAGGAGGAGGTCCCTTTTCTCGGAGGGCAGTCTAAGGTCAGGTGAGAGACAAGCAGCTATAGAACTGAACTTTGGGGAATACTGTGGAAGACTGTATTGTCCAAAAATGGATTCAATAACTGTCTCTCAACCCATACGCTCTTCTCTTACAATGTGAGTTTGATGCTCCTCCCATTGAGAGGTGGAGTCTGTGTTCCCTCCCACTGAGTCAATGGGATGCTGTGTGGCTTCTGAGGCTAGATCATAAAAGGCTTACAGCTTCTGTCTGATTCTCTTGAGACATTCACCTTTATAGACATAAACCACCATGTAAGAGTCCAAGGCCACGTGCAGAGGCCATTTGTAGGTGTTCTAGCCAACAGCTATAGGTCCCAACATATACCAATATCACCCACCAAACATTCCTGACCCCAGCCACAAAGTCCTCCCAGCCTTTGAGTCCTCTCAGCTGAGGCCTCAGACATAATGGAGCAGAGACAAGCTATCCCTGCTGTATCCTTTCTGAATTCCTGACACACAATCCACAAACATAATAATTTGTTATGCAACAATAAATAACTGGAATACCTACAATCTTAGAAGGAGCTTTTTGATTGAATCTAGTCTAACGTCACTTTCCAAAGGGGAAACAGACCTAGAGGCAAAGAAGCACTGACAGCCTGCCTGCTAACCTGGAGCTTCTCCCACCACTCTTTCCTGACCAGAGAAGGTACATTGGAGGAGGCAAGGCCTGTCCCACCACATGGGGCAGCAGGCTTTTCCTCTTCACCCATGGCGGCAAGGATGTATTTTTCTTTCCAACTTCTTATAAAAATTTTGAAGCATATAGGAATTGCAAGAATATTCGAATAAACACCAGCGTACCACCTACTTTTAGCAAGTGTTAACATATTGTCATATATGCTTATGTATGTGTATGTATGGTTTTGTTAACATTTGAAATTACATTGCAGATATAACATTCATCCTTAAATACTTCATTATATAACCATACTATCATTATTACTCCTATTATTATCTAATAGAAATCAGATGTCCCTAAAGTGTGTTTTTACAAAACATTTTTCTATGCCAGGATCCAATCAGGTTCACACATTGCATTTGATTGCCTCTTTAGTCTCCTAATGCACAATAGTCCCCTTACTTCTTTCTTTTCTTTTTTTAAGTGACATTGACTTTCTGAAGGAACCAAATTAGGCATACTGCAGAACATCTCACATTCTGGATTTATCAGATTGTTTTCTCATGGTGTCTATTGTACCATTATCTCCTTTACTTCCTGTAAATTGGATGTTAGGTCTAAAGCTTGACTAGCTTTTTGGCAAGAATATTTTATAGGTGATGCTATGTATAATGTCAGATTAGCCCTCTACTAGTGAAATTAAGTTTAATTGCTTGGTTAAGGTGGTGAATAGGAGTGTTTTAAAATTCAAACATAAGGTACGAGAACGCCCCGTATCCTAGTTGCTCTTCACGTAAGTGCACGAACTTTTTCTGGCACCTAAGCCAGTTGAGATGAACTTAACGGACTTAAATGTGTTTCAATTCCACTCTTAAAAAAAAAAAAAATTTAGAAGGTGATAGTACTGGTCCTGGCAGGTAAATGCATAAAAATAACCCTGGGGAGATTTTGTTTGTAGAACCCAAATAAGTCTCTGATTAGATAAACTTTAGACAGTGTCAAAATGAAGAGGAGGTAACAGGCAGTGGGAAGGGGAGGAACTGCTCTTCTCACCCAAAACGGAGGAATATGTGGCATTTCATGATTCAAGAGTCTACTGTGGCTTTTGCTAAATTAGTTCTCATTTATAGAACCAGATATCAGAGGTTTTCAAACCTTTGTTCCCTAAAAGACCCTGGGGATCTACATATGCCTTACTGAAATGTAACTGTAAATATGTTTTTTAATTATTTTTTAGCTAAGTAATACTTGAGCACGGAGCTAAAGGATGTTGAGGGTAGAGTCCCAACCCTTTTCAGCCATCAGTTCCCTTCTGCGCAACCAATATTTATCAATTTCTTCCTCTGCCTTAAATAAATAGGAAAAAACATGTATTTTAAACTAAAAAGAATAATAAATATCCTCACTTACGCGGTACATACCAACTTTTAACATAAGCCTACTAATAATGTACTATACTACAGCTGCCTCCCTGCAGCTCATAAATCTAATGGGGGAGAGAGATTAACCTAAGAGTCGCAAAGTGGCAAATAACAGGAAAGAAACTTGCAGAGTTAGGAGCTTGTCCAGGGCCTTTCGGATCCACCTTACTAAAGAGTAGGACGGTTCAAGGCAGGAGGTCAACAGGGCTCAGGACTAGGGGGGAGACTGCTGAACACGAACACCGTGAACGACGTGATGTTGGAAACTGGCGATGTATTCCGCGTTCCTTCCTCTTATCCGTTCTCTGCAGCTCCGAGGGTGCGGGGCTGGCCTAAGCGGAGGGCCAGGTAGCAGGGCAGAGCTGGAGCCCCACAGCCCAGTTGCAGGGCACCAGTCGGACGCTGAGTGCAGGCGCCACCGTATGACGTCAGGCGCACCGCGCATTCGTCAGCAGGCGCGACTCCTGCGATGCCTTGCAGGGCGCCGGACCCTGAGCGCGGGCTTTGAGCTAGGATCTCTCTGGGCAGAGGCGCAGGCGAGTGGGTGCTGGCTCTGAAAGTGCAGAGAGGTGGCCCAGGAGAGCGAGGCCTGCAGTTAGCTTGGGACGTTTGGCCTCCGTTTGCACGCGAGGCGCCTCCAAACAGGTCACGTCTCTTGCCCCGGGTCACCCAGAGGGTGGGGACAGACTGCCGGCTTGACATCGGGTTGGTTGTCCCTCTACCTTCACAGAGAGTGAGGATTGCGTTAAGTGCAGCCAAGGGTCTTTGCTGTGCAGTTGATTTCCACTGGCCTCTGAACCAAGCCTTGGGGCCCACCAGGCGGTTCCCTCCCTGACTTTTGTGTCCAAACCCCCACCGCGCGAGTCCTTTCCTGCTTGCTTGCTGAACAACAGGTGGCCATGTTACAAAAGAACTAAGTGTTAGCGAAAGTTGATGCCCCAAAAGGCCCAAGGTAGAGGTCAGGGGGTGGGGTTGGACGTCGTGTGTGTATAAAGCTTCCCGGGGAAGCTCATCAAGAACGCAGGGGATTTGGATTAGGTAATTTCTGAGAGTTCATTTCTCACTTTGCAATTACATAAATGAGGGCACAACTCCAGCTGGCATGAGCCTGGACAACACCGGGCAGGGTTGATTGTTCTGAACTTTGGTCCATGGCCCCACATTTCTCCCAGTGAGTCAGGAGGGACCCCTGGAGTCATGCAAACTGAACATGTCCATCACCTCCCAAAACTTCCTTGTGCCCCTTTATAAGCCCTTTCCTTCCCCTACAACCATTGTCATTTTAGAGTGATTTCTGTCACTATAGACTGATTTGCAACGTCTAGAATTTGATATAAATGGAAATCCAGATTTCTGGGTTTCATGGAGGTGGGATCTTTTGAACCTTGAGCAGACTAATCTTCTAAACATACCCTTTAAGTCCAACAATAGTTTTGCTGATTAGTAAAGACCATTTTGACTTGGGCATTGTGCTCTTTTGAAGAAGTATCTATATGCAGTCAGTTTCAAGAAACAAACTCCAAGGTTGGGCTGGAAGCTGTATTTTAGGATAAATTGTTATGAAAATATTGTTCAGGCCTGTATCCATGGCAATAGTGATAAGATGGGGTATAAGAATCTTTGGACATTCTCTTATCTTTGGGACACTTTGCCTCTTTAGTCTGAAGTGTGTGTCTGATTTGCAAAAGTGGTTTAGTGGTTGAAAGCTCAGCTGCTAACCAAAAGGTCATCAGTTCAAATCCACCAGCTGCTCCTTGGAAACCCTATGGGGCAGTTCTACTCTGTCCCATAGAGTCGCTGTGAGTCGGAATCAACTAGACAGCAGCAGTTTGGTTTTTTGTTTTTTTTTTTTTATATTAAATAAACTTCAAAATTAATTTGTATTATAGTTTAATATGATTTTTGTTTTAACATAATATGTACTCTGATTGGCTTCTGTCACTCAGCATAATTATTTTTAGGTTCATTTATGTCAATAATTTGCTCCTTTTTATTGCTGAGTAATATTTCATTGTATGAATTACACTACAATTTGTTCAATCACCTTTTGAACATTTGAGTTGTTTCCGGTTTTGGTCTATTACAAATAAAGCTATGTAAAAATCTTTGTGAAGATACATCCTTTCATTTCTCTTGGATAAATATGTAGGAGTGGAATGGCTGGCTCATATAGTAGGTTTGTTTTTTTTTTTTAAGTGCTAAACTGTTTTCTAAAGTGGTTTTTAAAAAGTGGCTAAACTGTTTTCAAAGTGGTTGCACAATTATACATCCCCACCAGAAGTATTTGAGAATTCTAATTGCTTCCCATTTTCAACGACATTTGGTGTGATTAGTCTTTTTCATTTTAGTCATTCTAATAGGTATGTAAAGACCCCTAGTGGCACAGTGGTTAAGAACTTGGCTGCTAACAAAAGGCGGTTCAAACCCACCAACTGCTTCATGGGAGAAAGATGTGGCAGTCTGCTTCCCTAAAGATTGAAAAAAATACCCACTGCTGTTGAGTCAACTCATAGCAACCACATAGGACTTGGAAGCAGACTGCCACATCTTTCTCCCACGGAGGAGCTGGTGGGGCACTTTAACCGCTGCCCCACCAGGGCTTCTCCCTAAAGATTACAGCCTTGAAAACCCTGTGAAGCAGCCCTATTCTGTCCTATAAGGTCATAATATGAGGTGGAATCAACTCGAGCACAATGGGTAATAGGTACATAGATCTCATTGTGGTTTTAATTTGTGTTTCCGTAATGATTAATGATATTGAGCACTTTGCATATGTTTTTGCCACTGGATATATTTTAAAGATAGAGTTTGAGGGTAGAGGGAATAGGATTTGCAGGTAGATCAGACAAGTATTGTGGGAAGAAAAATACAAGAATGACCTCAACTTCTTCCCAGTCCCTAAGTAATTTCAAGTCTTCCTCTTCTCTTCTGCCTGAAGTGCCGTTCTCCATGTTGGCCACCTTGCAAATTCCTAAGTCGTCCATCTCTGAAGAACCTTTAGTGACGCCCTTGGGTGGGCGCCCATAGCTCCTGCAGTTTATCATCACCTTTATAGGCTAATTTTCTGTTTGCACCCTGTCTCCTCTACTAGCTGGTGAGCTTCTGGGAAGTATGGATGGTTGGATTTTCTCAATATGCCTAGCCCCTGGCTGCAGCGCAGCCTCAACCATTTTAGCATTTTTTTTCCTTCAAATTTACATTTCAGTTGTGGGTGCTTTGCCTTAAGCTACCAGCCCCACTAGCTGTGTGATCCTCACAACTTAACATCATTGTGCCTCAGTTTTCTAATCTTTAAAATGGGGAAAAAATGAATAAATAAAATGGGGAAACTAATGGTATCTGCCTCACATAGTGGTGAAGATTAAATGCAAAATGGGTGAAAAGCTCTTAGTGTGATGACTGGCAGGCTTATGGAGTCTCCCCCAGTAAAATCGAGGTGTTATCATTTCCTGATCCGAATACTTTATTGGTCCTTTTCTCAAACTCAAAGATAAGTGCTTTGCAAATGGTTATTCACATAATCTCAATCTTTTGGGAGATAAATGGGGGCATTTTCTTCTTAGAGATCTGATTCCTTGAATCAGGTAATTGAATTGCTTTCCCTCCCTTGGAATCCACTCTGTTGTACAGTGTAGCATTTCCTGTCCTGGTCCTTGGCCTCTCATGCCCGTGCCCACTTTGCTTCCGTGAGTCCATCCTCTATACTGACCCCCCTAGGGTTGAGGGTGTAATGGTTAAGGTTACGTGTTAAACTGGCTAGGCCATGATTCTCAGTGGTTTGGCAGTTGTTTAATGATGTAGTTTGGCAGTTATGTAATGGTGTAGTTATCCTCTGTTTTGTGATATAATGTAATTACTTTCATGATGTGATCTGATGTGATCAGCCAATCAGTTGTAAGGGGAGTTTCCTTGAGGGTGTGGCCTGCATTCAATATATAAGGATGTTCTGGAAAAGCTCGCTGGCTTTTGCTCTCTCTGGATCCTGCATCTGGCTCGTCATCATCTGACCTGTGGTTCTTGGGACTTGAGCCAGTGGCCCGCTGTATTG